CTGGGGCATCGTAAGGCTTACCACGGTTCTGTTGGTGCTTACCCCTCTTCTCATTGATAATCTTATAGTGAGCATTATTATCCTCTTTATAAATCCCGCAACTATCAATCAAATCGGCAAAGACACGGATCTTTTGGTATCCAACTGCCTTCTTGATCTCTCAGCGCAACCTATTCTTAAACTTGATGCACTTTGAAAACTCAATATTTTCTTCGCTATAGTGCGGATAAAACTTAGCCAACTCAACAAACTTTGTTGCATATTAAACAACCGACATACTCCCTTGCATCAGCTCAAAAAACTCAATTTCCTTCTTACCACGAACATCTTCAGGGAAATACTTCCTGAGAAATTCCCTATGGAACACAACCCAAGTGACATTTTCAACCGCAAATTCCAATTTCTGAAAAGTCTCTAGCCACCAGTCATCAGCCTCGACTTCTAGCATGTGAGTACCATATTGAACCTTCTGCGCTAGAGTGCAGTCCATCACACGGAATATTCTCTCAATATATTTCAACCAATCCAACACCCCTTCAGGATCATACTTACCCTTGAAGGTAGGCGGATTCTACCTCTGGAAGGTCACCAAGCTACGAGATCCAGCATTCTCGCCAACATTCGGCTGATTCTCCATAGCATGCGCCATCGCTTCCAAAGCAGCAACAAGTGCATCGTCATTCTTTCCAGCCATCTCAACTTATCACTACAACATAAACAAAAGTTAGAACTCAAATTAATAATACTAGATTGTTAGATAAAACTACGACTCGACAACTTGGTCGGACAGAACGACTTGCTCTTATACCAACTTGTAACAGCCCATTTCTATCCAACGAATTATATAACATCATAATTACAAAATTTACAAAAAACAAATGGAATTCTACAATTACAACTTAAAACAACGACATTTAACATATATACATAACACTTTAAACTCGGATGAACCAACAACAACATAAATTAAATGTTTAAAACCAACAACTTTCATAACTACGTAGCAGAATCATAAAATTCGACTTAAAAGAATGTAACAACTTTATACAACTGAAACAACTTCAAAAAAACATGTACTTAAGGAAAATAGCTTAAAATTCAACAACTGAAGTAATAACAACGATAAAGCAACAAGCGTTCATCCCCCGAGTGTTACGTATCAGAGCAATGACATCGACTCGAACTACTGAAAATAAACCGCCTTCATTTGGATTACCTGCACGTTGCCAACATACAGGTAACATTCAAATAGAAGGGGTGAGATATAGAACAATATAATAGAATGTATGATAAATAATATATTAGCAATAGTTCATACAAAATCACCACTTCGCAGCTCTTTAACAGCATTAACATCACCAATCCATCCACACAACAACTCAGAATGCAACATGGAATGCAACTTATTTTTATGCACATGCATGTGGTACCAATGGAGCAAAACTCTCAACTTAATAATCTGTCAATTAATAGAGACATCAACAAGGCATAAGCATTCAATTTTATATTGCCAATTCATGCCAACTTACCGAGCATGAGTTTTAACTTGATATGCTATGTATATGACAACAATATGAATATAGTAACAACAACAACAATAATTCAACAACAACTCAACATAATTCAACATTGGCCATAAGCCTACAACTTAATACTTGCCGATCATTAGAGGCATCTCAACAAAATTCATCAGCACCTGCCAATTCTCAATTTATAACAAGCATACAATACAATGTATCAACCAAAATATACTACGACGTCCTGCGTAATTATACGAGCAATTCGACTATATCCGACAAAGTAGTTTTCTACTAAAATACTAATTTACTCTCCTACAATTACTGGAAACTCTACTAAATTACTGGGAATGCTAAACTAAAGTAATTAACCAACTCAGCATGCACGGGCGTTTAGGGATAAGGGAGAACTATGCACCCCTCAACATGTACAGGAACCGAGAAAGAATTAACAAATAACATGTGCCTCTCGACACCACCTGTCGCTTCGTGCAGCTCGATAAAATTACCGTGCTCCTCGGTACGCCTTGCAGCCTAATACCGCTCGACACCCAACACGTGTATTCCCCGACACACCTTGCAGTCTAATGCCGCTCAGTACCTAGTACATGTGTTCCCCCGACACCGCGTGTCTCCAAAACTTTTGCATAGACATTATTGGTTCTGTGATAAACATTAACCCAACCCTTCAGTATCCTCCCAGACCACCAATTTTTGGACGACATCACAGAATAACACAACACAACGACTTAACGACCACATCAACATAATCCCTAGTTTCCAGTCAACCGCTCGGAACAACACAACGACGTAACGACCACATCAACTGGTGATAATCTACACTAACCTATTCATCAATTATACTGGGCAGTACGCAGACAATTCATAACCGCCCACAACATGAAAAAAGACTAAGTTCAAGAAACAGATCCAAAATCGTATGCACGACAGACATATATACGGCCAATCCCCATATAATATTCATCATAAACCCCATTATATAGTCAGAACCCCATCCTTACTGAGATTGAAGGTCGCACTACAAATCTACGGCTGTAATCCTTGTCTTGCCTTGCTTGACAACCGTGCAACCTTGCTCTTCTTCTGTGCAGCTTTTCACGGTCAACACACTAAGACTTCTATTCTCCAACTAACCAAATTTCTTATGTCAGCTTAACCTTATACCATTAATTTTATTGGGCTTAACTTACACACTCCCACTTTACTACTTCCAACCAATAAAATAGGCTCAACACAATTATTCTATTATTCTACTAATTCTAAAATTATTATTATTATTATTATTATTAATCAACTAATTAATTAACTAATAACAATAGCAACTTATGACAATAATTCACAACATCTCACAACTTCAACGAATAATTCTAAAAATAATTAATTAAATAACGGACGTTACAATAACGACCCCGACCGACCACCATTGAAGAACTGCAAATCCTTCCAGAATCTTCTAAGCACCAAGAGTCATCTTGAAAGCGAGCACATCACATCCAAGCATTAAGTACATCCAAGGGCTCCCCGTAATTTACTAATATCAAGTTTATTATCTCATCTCTTCTATATATAGAAAATGAATCAATTTAGGTAACAAGTTTCAAACACAATTTTAATTCACTATTCTTTCTCTTATATTGACTTGAGCGCCCGAGTGCTAACCTCGCAAATTAGCCTCCTCTCCATTGCACCGAAAATTTAGGTCTACCATTACTTTTGATCCTCATTCCATTTCTGATTACATAATGTAACATAAATCTTTTATAAATAAATTATATGAAAAGGAGACTTTAGAAATTGATTCAATATTATTGACATTTTTAATATAAAAGTAAAATATAATATCTTATTTAATAAAAAGAAAATTATTCAAATTATATTATATTATATGATTAAAAGAAGCTAATAGTTTTAGTAATAATTAAAATTATAATATAAAATATATATCAAACAAGTTTTCTTTTTAAAATATATTTTAAAAAGAAATTTATCAACCATGTTTTCTTTTAGAATTTAATTGATATATACTGACAGTGTAAAGCAGTTTTACACCGCCACCGTCAATTAATCATAAACTGTCAAATTATTATAATTGTTTGTGATGCACTAATCATAAATCTTTTATAAATAAATTATATGAAAAGGAGACTTTAGAAATTGATTCAATATTGTTGACATTTTTAATAAAAAAGTAAAATATAATATCTTATTTAATAAAAAGAAAATTATTCAAATTATATTATATTATATGATTAAAAGAAGCTAATAGTTTTAGTAAAAATTAAAATTATAATATAAAATATATATCAAACAAGTTTTCTTTTTAAAATATATTTTAAAAATAAATTTATCAACCAAGTTTTTTTTAGAATTTAATTGATATATACTGACAATGTAAAGCAGTTTTACACCACCACCGCCAGTTAATCATAAACTGTCAAATTTTTATAATTGTTTGTGATGCACTAATCATAAATCTTTTATAAATAAATTATATGAAAAGGAGACTTTAGAAATTGATTCAATATTGTTGACATTTTAAATATAAAAGTAAAATATAATATCTTATTTAATAGAAAGAAAATTATTCAAATTATATTATATTATATGACTAAAAGAAGCTAATAGTTTTAGTAATAACTAAAATTATAACATAAAATATATATTAAACAAGTTTTCTTTTTAAAATATATTTTAAAAAGAAATTTATCAACTAAGTTTTTTTAAGAATTTAATTGATATATACTGACGATGTAAAGCAGTTTTACACCGCCGGTTAATCATAAAATATTAAATTTTTATAATTGTTTGAATTTTTCCTTAATTATATTTAAAGTATTACATATGAATAATTGTGATATACTATTTACACCTACGATGCATGTCAATTAATTTTTTTTTATTTTCTCTTTTACGAAATTGTTTTATAAAATGGGATCACCAAACATATTTTTTTTATAAAAAAAATTGCTAAAATAAATTTTAAAATTAAAGTTTAAAAACTAAAAAATTAAAAACCATTCAAATAGGATCTGAATATATTTCCTTTATCTTTTTCTTTTAAAGTAATTTTTTAAAATTAATTTATAAAATAAATTTTAAAAAGTAAAAGATAAAACTCTTTCAAACAAGTCATTTGTACTAGTATATATGTTAGATTTCTTATATACTATTCATTTAAGTTAACTTTATCCATATGGAACCAATATTTAATATAGACACAGGATTCTTCATTCAGGAGTTCACCCTGTTTTGATATCAGTATTATATATGCCACTTATGGGATTAATATTTAATAGATACATGGTATTCCCTACTCACAATACCATGTGTCAAATAATTCATATAGAAAGATAACATATAAATAACAACTGAGTATCAATCAGTACGTAACACCAAGCAAAGTCACATATACATTCTCTACACCTTCAAATTTTTCATAATTTCTTGGTCCAATTAATCACTATGTTGTTATTCTCTAGTAATTTTGTTGCTGAAAAATGGCTAGGATTTGTGACAGCAATATGGGTACAAACAATATGTGGAAACAATTATACATTTGCAAACTATTCTGATGTGTTGAAGTCTCTGATGTTTCTGAGTCAGATGCAGCTTAACAATCTCTCTGTTGCTAAAGATGTTGGCAAAGCTTTTGGTATTTTCTCTGGTCTTGTTTCTGATCGTTGGCCAACGTCTGTTATTCTCATGATTGGTGCTACCATGGGGTTCATTGGTTATGGTGTTCAATGGCTTGTTGTTAGCCAAAGAATCACCCCTCTACCTTATTGGCTGGTAAATATTGCACTCACACACACGACACTGACACGTTCCACACCACTCATCACTCACACATTTGTTCAGAGGTGTCGGTGTTCCATACCTCATTTACTTATTTGTAGTTGATATAGGTGAATTCATCATTTCTAGAAAGAAAAAGAACCAATTTGTTTGATTGCTTTTGAACTATTTTGCAGATGTGTGTGTTCTTATGTATGGGAGGAAACAGCTCAACATGGATGAACACAGCAGTACTTGTAACTTGCATGAGAAGCTTCCCGAACAACCGCGGTCCAATTTCTGGTATTCTTAAAGGTTATTTAGGACTCAGCACAGCAATCTTCACTGATATATGCACAGCTTTGTTTTCCTCGGATCCATCCAAGTTTCTATTGATGCTCACAATTGTCCCTGCTGTTATTTGTCTCATTGCTGCTATTTTTCTTCATGAAACTCCACCAGCTTCTACTTCTACAGAAGAAAATCAAGAGACAAGGTTCTTCAATGTGTTTAACTTGATTGCAGTTACAGTAGCAGTTTATCTCTTGGTGTTTGATATCTCTGGACCTCATAAGCATGTTGTTTCATTGGTTTTCACAATAGGACTTTTGATCCTATTAGCCATGCCACTTCTTGTTCCTATATATTTGGTTTTAATCAAAACTAGACCTGGTTTTGATAAAGAAAAACAAAATCATGAACCACTTTTGGCACAAAAGATTGAAAAGGAAGAGACATGTGCCAAGGTGGAGGAAGTTAAGATTAAACGAAAACCGGTGTTAGGGGAAGAACATACTATCATAGAAATGGTGAAAACTGCTGATTTCTGGGTTTTGTTTATGTCATTTTTTTGTGGTGTGGGAACAGGACTATGTGTCATGAATAACATGGGACAAATGGGATTAGCACTTGGTTATCATGATGTTTCTTTGTTCATTTCTTTCATTAGCATTTGGGGTTTCTTTGGACGCATTCTTTCTGGTTCACTCTCTGAACACTACATCAGGTTTGCTCACTAATCATTAACATTTCTTCAATTCTCATAAACTATTGACCCTGAATGAAAATTTGATATTGCAGAAAATCGGGCTTGCCAAGGCTAGTTTGGAACGCAGCAGCTCAAATTCTGATGGCTGCTGGTTACATTGCATTGGCTATGGCCTTACCAGGATCATTGTACATTGGTTCTATGCTTGTTGGAATATGCTACGGAGTTCGTCTTACAATAACACCAGCAGCAGCTTCAGAACTATTTGGTCTGAAATACTATGGCTTATTGTACAATATTCTCATTCTCAACCTTCCTATTGGTTCATTCATCTTTTCTGGTCTCATTGCTGGTTATCTTTATGATATTGAAGCTACTAGTGTGCCGGGAGGTGGAAACACTTGCATTGGAGCACATTGTTTCAGGCTTGTGTATTTTACTATGGCTTTTGCTTGTGCCTTGGGGTGTGGATTGGATATCTTGCTTTCTGTTAGAACAAAAAAGATATATTCCAAGATACATATAGAGAGAAATCTTGTCAACCCAATACTGAGATGATGATGATGTTATCTTGACTTTTTTAGGATAGGTTTAGGAAATTTTTGAGAGTTTTAGACTTTCAAGTTACAAGATGATTGTTCAAGTGTGTTAATCAAAGGTCACTCAAGCTTGAAATAAATTGTGTGTTTATTGTTTAATGTGTATATGTTAGTCATCTACTAGTGTGTGCATTAATACATTGAGCTATACGGTGTACATGTTAAAAAATAGTGTCAACCCAGCTTTTCTCTAATCATAATCATTATAGGATTAAGCATGTTGTACAAACTGAGTTATCTATCTAAACTAGACATTGGTTTATAAGTGGTATATACAATACCAATATATCAAAACAGGGTGAACTCCTGAATGAAGGAAGGATCCTGTATCTAAACTAGATATTGGTCCATATGGATTAATATTGACTTAAATAATTATAGTATATAAGAAATTTAATTCATATAATAGGGGTTATTAGCCTTTGTTTTGTTACATTTTGAAAAAATTATTGTGTTGTACAATAGGATGGATTGTTGACTGGATATGAATTCAGATTCTAAGTAATAAGATCGAGGGAGAATTCAGATACAGATGGATCTTTGGACCAAGACAAACAAACAGGTTAAAGACAGATACGTCCCATTTTCACGATAGGAGCATCTCTACACAGACATGAATCTTAAAGACTTATTAATAGATATAAATGGTCAATCCTAAATAAGAAGACAAAATAATTGATCCCTATTGAATAACCTCAGGCAAATAGGGAGATAGAGGAATTTATGACTCGTTAATTAGGCTTACAAAGACTAATTTGCAAGATCGTATACAAATAGACCACCTAAGAAGAATTAGATAACTTTTATACACAACTCATAACAAAAGTAATTTTGTGACCCTTACTGACTTAGTCTGATCAGGTTATCAAATAATGTACTTTACATGTACATTTGATATTCACTGTGGCCCCAATAAAACCGACTTGGGTCATACACCCTTATTTTAACAACAGTCAAACCTCATTTCATGATGACATGGGTTGCCACCAATAGCAACAACTACTACCACAACAATGGTCGATTTTCCATTACAGAAATGTTGACTACTATAGAGAATTTGTGTCGCTAAAATAAGACGTTGTAAGACAACGTGAGTGATCTACAACAACAACAACAACAACAAATGCAACCTACATTTGAAAATTAGGAAGATCATGTGGATCCCCAGTCCATATCAGCGAAGATATAGGACATATAGGTCCCAGACAACTTCAAACCCCCTTCCTTAACTATGTTTAATGACAAACATGACCATTAACAACACATTATTGCTATCACACATATGACCATCATTGGAGCTACTGATTCCCTCAAATGCAAGCTGATGACGATAACACTAAAGAAAGTGGCCCTCCGCTGGTACACAAGCCTTTTGAGGTTATCCACCACCAGTTATCAGGACCTGGAGAGGAAGATGATCCACCACTTCTCGACCAGTAAGCACGGGAAAATTTCCACCACAAGCCTTTTCAACTTGTGCCAATGTTATTTCGAGACTTTCACTACTGCAAATAATACATTACATGACAAAACTTTCACCTCGTCCAACAAATAACTAAGGTATATGTTTTGGGAGCACCATGATTTAAAAAAAAAATATACAACCTATTCCCTTGTGTGATACGGTGAGAGAACTGACTTGATTGTTTTGCGTTTGATTGTAAATGTTGCAGTTAGCAAGAGTCGCCACCGACTTTTCTTTTATCCAAAAGGAAAGGTGAAAAAGCACAGGAAAGACCTTTGAGATTGTTTTTTTTAGTTCGGGGGGTAGATTATGAAAAGGGAAGGTATTAGTACCCTTTTCATCCATGGTTTTCCATGGACTCTTAGTTACTTGCTAGATCAGTTGCTTTTGTTCGAAATTGTGTTTTGTGTGGTTTTGAAAGTATTTTGTAAAAGAGGCCATTGTTTAGGCAATCTTTGTAATAATTCTCGTTCGTAAGAATGTATACAAAGATGTTGATCTTTTGAAAATATTTTCAATGTTTGTAAGATGTTTGGAAATGTGTAGGTGTTTGTTTTGAAAATAGTAAGGATATTTGTTTTGAAGCAAGTAACTAGAAGCAATCTACCTACTCAAATGTCTTTCTTGTTCATTTTCTTCTCCTTTGACATTGTTGTCTTACCATTGATTTGGTAAGCAACCCTATCTTTGGATGTTAACGGGATGGGAGTGGGTCATCGTATAGCCATGATTAGCAATGTTGCAAAGTATCTTAGCATTTTTTAGGGACTAAGATCATTTTTGTAAGGCAACTTTGAATAGCGTCATCGAGGGACTATGATCTTGTATTCATTTGTTTTTGCTAAGACACCTTACATGCGTAATATGGCCATTTTTGTATAAGGCAACCAAGTGGAGTAACCCTAGGGGTGTTTTGTGTGCAAGTGTGTGATTTTCATGCTTGATTTTGTCTTGATTTAGGGTTTTCTATTTGATTGGTTTTATCTTGCCATACAAACCCTAGTTACTAGCATGTTATGTAAAAGTGATAAATTGCGAAATTTAAAGATTACTACGCTATTACAACATTTGTGGGAACACCCCAATTCTACCCCAAGCAATTATGCAAGATAAATCAGAGTTACAAAATTTCAATCATACAAATGAATTGGGACGTCACAAATTCTTCTAACAAATTCATTGCATTCATCGTGGATATATAACACTTTTTCAAATATCGGATGAACCATCAACATAACATCTTTAATCAAATAAATCAACATCTACACAGCGGAATTCTTAATAACATCTCTAACAACAAAACAGCAACTTCAAAACATCACATATTTAATAATAGTCAATTTAAAGTTCAACAACTGAAAATCAACAATAAAAAACAATAAGCGTTCATCCCCCCGAGTGTTACATATCAGAGCAATGACACCGACTCGAACTACCGAAGGTATACAACATTCACTCTCGATTACCTGCACGTTACCAACTTAGGGCAACATTCAAACAGAAGGGGTGAGATATCTAACAATATAATAAAGCGCATGATAATTAATATATTAAATTAGATCAACAACATCACCACTTCTCATCTCATAATCAACGACAATCTTAACAATAATATACATTCATCAACATCAAAATACACTTCTTCATGAAATCATATAATGTGAATCTATACTATGCAAATGCATGTGGTACCATTGGAGCAGAACTCCCATCTCAAAAATTTGCCAATTAATAGAGGCATCAACAAGGCATAGCCTTCATCTCAAAATTCGCCAATACAGGCCATCTCAACGAGCATAAGCTCCATCTTAAAAATTCAATGTATGCGACACAACCATGAATGTAATAATAACACCCAAGTTAACAACATCTCAAATCATCTCAAAACATCTCAAATTAACATCTCAAAAACATCTCAATTAACATCTCAAAAATATCTCAATTAATCAACATCTCAGATCATCAAAATAATTTATCAAACATCATTTATTTATTATAAAACATCAACACAATATTATTAATAACTTCTCACTAATGCAACTTCTGACAGCACAACTTCTGACAGCACAACTTCTGAGTGCCACGGTATTGCAAGCTAGTACTTCTAAGTGCCTTTGATTACTACTTCCACAATTTGCTACTGTATTTGCAAGCCAAGCCTTTTATTACTACTTTATCTTGTATTATTACAACAAGACATTAATACTCCATGTGCCTTAACTGCTACACCTTAATATCCGCTACAGTAACGCCAAAACAAGTCATATGCCATTGAATATTACTTCACATATTACTGCTACAGGAGAAAAGCATGTCTTCTATAGACTACTTCAAATTGGCGCTACAGGAACAAGGCTAGTGCCGTATAGATGCTACTACTTTATGCAATGCAATTGCCATCCAATTATTATTTCCTAATGCTACTACTCTTTCTATGCTACTGCAGGCAACTAAATGCTTCTAAATATTATATTAATATTGCGCTACTATGTGGCAAAACAAGCCAAGTGCCATCTAAATATTACTTCTTCATATGCTATTTTATTTACAAAACATATGCCTATTTAATATATATTCCGTTCTAATATCACGCTACAGTAGAAATCAAGTACCTCCAATATACTACTTCCCTTCGCTACTGTATTCCAAAAAAATAACAATTGCCATAAGTAATACTTCTAAGTGCTAGTATTACAAAACATGTGTCTTAAAGTGTTATCTTTTTTCTTTATTGCGCTACTGGAAGCATATGCCATATAACTTTAGATATTAATTCTTAATATAATGCTACATCATACCAAGCCATACAAGTGCTATTGCTTTTAAATACTGCTACATAATACCACTATATAGAAAATATAAGCCTTTAATACTACTATGCCTACTGTATAGAAGTCATATTCCTTAAGTACCAATGCTACTTCTCCAATATTACTTTCCATGATTTGCGCCACTTCATATTACTATATGAAATCTAATGCCTTTAATTGATACTTCTAAATGCTACTGTAATACATATGCCTTTAAAATAACAATTCCATTCATCGCTACAGTAATTAAAATATGGGATTTTGCAAGGATAATACCAAGACACTTATTTATGTGTATAACTAATTATATTGGATCCTAAATCATCTCTCAATTTCATCATTATACCAATTTCAAACACAACTAAAAATAATATTCATAACCCAAATTCACATACTATTAATTATACACCCTATTATAGAGTCAGAACCCCACCCTTACCTTGGATTGAAGGTCGCTCTACAATTTCGGGTTGAATTCTCGTTCTTGCCGTTTTCCACTTTTTCCAAGAGTTTGCACGTTCTCCTCCAAATCCTTATTTCTTCTACTGCTTCTTTCTTTCTATTCTATTCCAACAACAATAAAATAACCCTATTATTCTATTATTCCATATTGGGCTTAAAACCAATACACCCCCTTATTACTTCTATTTCTTCAAAATAAGCCCACATTAAATAATATTACAC